TATTTTAAATATAAAGTTGGGCATAGAAAAGGTGATGTGGCACCTCTCTATGGCCAGCAATTGCATTTTTCTTTTTTCTCCTTTTTTTGAATTTTTCCTCCATTAATCCTCTAATTCACTCTATTTAATTTGTTAATTTTCACCTTCTCCTTAAAGTCTTCCTTATAGTAACTGCTGAGAAATCATTAAAAGAGGTACCTAAGAGTTTGTAAAACGGATTCATGATATTTAAAAGGGCATTAAGTATACAAAATGACTTAACAGCTTCTTAGAGGTTGAAACTACACTATAAAACTCGATCTTCCAGTTATTCCTACGCATTAACAAGAACATGGGTTTCCAGATAGGGAAATGGAAGCGGGGTTTGGATACTTCTGAGTTGGGAAAGAATAAAGTTGACGGGTTAGGTGTCTTCTCTCCTTTATATCTTTTTCTTCTTTTATTTCTTTTGTTTTCTTCAAACAAATAAAAAAATGACAATGTTCATGTAGAAAAAATTTCACCTGAATTTGGTGGATTTTCACGGCATCGTATTTTTGTTTGGCTAATTTTCATGTCTATTATTATCTATTATTTCAACTATCGTCACCCTATTGAATATAATTTCTTTTCTTACTTTTTCGCATGACAACGTTACCTTTTCAAGTGAAGAAGGAAAATGAAGAAGCATATAAAAATCGGTTTCCTTTCTTCAATACACAATGTTCCACACAAAGTTATATATCAAAATACATGTATAAAAGGAAGTAAGCTAATACATATGTACATTACACAAAATGAGCTCTGCATCTTATTTTCGTTTTCTTAAACTTTATCCTACAAATCTGAAGATAGTTTCAAAATATAATTATTGGCATATAAATACAGTTGTTTTCACTTTGTTAGGGGTGCATTGACTTATCTGCGAAGTGTAAGTGTAAATTTTTTAGTCTTCATTTGTATGTTCGTCTCTTTTCTCATTATCATCCATTCAATATTGAAAAATACCTCATTCTTATATTTCTTTCCTCCAATTATTTTCTCATTATTATAATTGTGTATGTCCTTGAGGTTGTTGTACTTGGTGATATGAATGATCAATTGGCCCTTCAAATTTATTATGGTAGTTATGTCGATGTTCTTATGGTCATAACTTTACAAATTGTATCTCTCTTAGTTACCCAAAAAAAGAAAGAATTGTATCTTGCATATCTTTTACATTGTTTGTTTGATATTGATCGGTTTAGGTTAAAGAAAAAAAGAAAGTATTCTTCCTCCCTTCATTTATTAGGTAAATATATGAATGAGTATATATAAGGGAGGGGTAGAATTACATGTAAGGAAATTAACGAGAAGAAAACGATAAGAAAAAGAAGGGTACATTTTCAAGAAAAAATAACAAAAAGGGAAAAAGGGATTTCAAAAATGTAAAAAGTAATGAGAAAGATCAAGTGAAAAACTCTTTTTTGCGTTTCCTTTATAAAATTTCTAAGATCGTGAAAATAATTTTTAAAAATACATACTGAATTTATGGAAATAATTGTGAGAGAGTCAAAATTACGTGTAAATAACCGTTCCATTTTAGCTAAAATTGTGTAAAATTTTGTTGCAAAGAAGTAGATTAAAAATATTAGATATAAATGATTTTCGTTAAAAAAAAGTGACTAAATCGATAGCATTATTTTTACTATTCACTTATTAAAAAAGACCTTATATTGTTAATATAACCGCGCGAAGCGCGGAAAAATTCACTAGTAATAATAAATATTTGCTTTCAATTAAAAAAAATTTGACAGGTGTTATTTGCAATACCTTCTTTAATACACAAAAGATAATACATCGATCCTTAAAAGAACACTCGGACAAATTTTTTGCAAGCAAATGATGTTCAATATAGTTCTTGGCAGAGGCAGACCCCGAATGTAGCATTCGGGCACTCGATTTATCATAATCAAGTACTTTTATTTATGAAACCTAAATTAATGTGTAAAAATTCACTAAAATTATAATAAATAAAATGTCTAAACCGGCAATTAAAATAATAAAATTCAATAATTAGCCCATCCATAAATTTTTTGTTTATTTGTAAACCTACAATAAGAGCACTGCAGGAAAGATTGAACGGTAAAATAGTAGTAGTAAAATGACATGAAAAAAATGGAAGCTTACCTTTTTAATTATCAATTATAAATAGAATAAAATAATAAGGAGAAAAGTAGAATATTATCAAATTTATGAGTTTATGATAACTATCTCAAGGTTTGACTATATTGTTGCAAGCTTTCGTTCGTATAAAAAATATATAGAGAGAGATTAGAAAACGATCAACTAATGAAAGTATCGTTTAAACAACATGATTTGAAATAATGAAAAGAATATTTAAAGAGAACTCATATAATATTTGAAATTGATATTAGAGAAAATATTACTAAGAAATTAAGTGTTTGTCCAAAAAAGAAAAGAAAGAAATTGTTTTAATTTTTGCTTGAACATACAACTTTTTCTAAATGCAATGTGACGAGTTGAGAATGATCTTATGACTAGGAGTATTCATGAAAAATAAAAAAAATTGAATCAAATTCATTTAAATTAGATTTCATATGAGAAAGTTTAACCGGCTGTGAAGTATCATAAAGAAACCACTAGAGTGGGAGCGAAACGCATAGAACTGGAGGTGCAAAATATGCAGACTCATGCCCATTGTACTTGAAAAATATCAACCAATACCCAGTTAATTTTTTCATTATGAAAGGAGATATATGATCCCGTCGACTATACCAAGAAAAATAAGAACAATATGAAGTCATCATCAATTTCAAAGTAACATGATAGAAGATCCATAAAAAAGCAAACATTTACATTTTAATATAATATGTATTATGGAGAAAGTTTTGGAACAAAATTTCGTGCCTTTGTGTTGGATTGTATTTGTAAAAGTTGAACAATTATTCAAAAATTGTTTAAACTAAAGGGAAAAAAATCATTTTCTATTACTAAAGGAAACGTTTTCTAAACTCTTGAGTTAGCTTTGATTTTGAAACCCACATTTGTCACATTGCTTGAATAACATGACTTTGTGCTGACTAAATGTGCATTTCAACTTCATAAAAGGACTTTGAAAAAATAATTTCAATAAAAATAAGGAAAAAAAATATTCTATTTAGAAGAAAAAAGGAAACTTTAAGAGAAAACAACTTTACAAAATTTTTTAGTATGATCAATTTAGGAATACGTCTGCAATATTATTTTGGTAATTTTCTTAAGGATTTTGTACTTTTTTCATGTAATTTTATCTTTGTTAAGTTAAATTAGTAATTAAATTAAGTCTTTTAATTATTACCATATAGTTATATCTGAACGCAACTTTATGAGGACGATTTAAGTTTTTTCACTAAGGTGCTATTAAATAAGGAATTTGATAATAGAAGTATTGTAACTTAAAATCTTTATATTTTTCTTGATATACTAAAAATTACATTTGCAAAAATTGATTAATCAAGTTTAAATTAGTTTTGAATAAAATTGGTTGTATTAAGCATTAATATGTTATAACTCAAATTGACTTCAACAAAATTGTTCCGGATATAGTAATTTTTTTTTGTAAAAAAAAAAAGGGATGAAGAGAGACTATCATTTTGATCATGCAAATAGTGGCATTTGATTACAAAGTCAGAAGTTCTAAATCACCAAGTGTCTTTTAATTATCTTTGATCAACTATCCCACGGTTCACTATGATCTTTTATAGATGTTTATTTTATCCCTCAAATATTCCAACCAACTTTATTTAATTAAACGCTAAGCAACTCTAAGAAGAAAAGAAAACTTTACCAGCTTAGGTATGGCAATTGGGCCCGGGCTCAGCCCGGGCATACCCTCACTAGTAATAGCAAAGAAGCCAATACAAAAGAACTGCGCAAAACAGATATCTCAATTTAATTGTAAAAAATATAAAAATGCAATTGGCTATTACAAAAATATCGTAATCATAAGAATACAAGCTTTTGTATGTCAGAGATATTTATTCATTACCTGAGGAGAAACTAACCACTTGCACTCAATTGCTTCACTTGCTGAATCCACAACTCTCTAGCAACTTTACTCCCGCAACAAAAATCATAAATTGAGGTTTGTTATAAATAGAATTGTATTTATGGTGAATGTCTATATTTAGAGAGATTCTAGGGTTCATTACTTGGTGGCTAAGTCATCCTCTCCCTATAAATAGAGGGTTTTATTCCATTGTAATTCATCCCAAATCAATAAGAATTCCCTCTCACTCTTTCTCTACAATACTGCTCTTCTTCTTTTATTGTTTCATAACAAGGTTTAAGATATCAATATTTTAAATGAACTCAAATCAGAAATTATAAAATTTTGATAATCAACGTAAATATAAAAAAAACAAAGTGGGGATAATTTAGTTTTCATCGTAGAATAGAAAATAAAATTACATCAGTAGATGAATTCAGATACGAAAATACAAATTCTTGATTACTATAAACATACATAGAAAAAAGAATGGAGATAAGCTTTTGCCTAGAAATAAGAGGTAAAAATATGATGGGAAAGGTTATCAAGATGAGTCAATTTAGAAGGTGTCTTCCTAAGTTTTTAAACGGAAGAATAAATGAGTGTCATTGCTATTTAGTGTGATTTAAAGAGCATAATAAAAGTAGGATGCCATAAGTCAAAACAAACTTTATCGCCAATATATGCTAAATAAACTTTGTATATATTGAATGAATAATTAACTATTTGTTGAACATTTACATTCGTAGATGAATTTGGCTTGTATTATACTAGCCAAATGAATTCATCATATTATTGAGTTACTCAATGCAACTCTTTACATTCTCCAACTTTTCAAAAACTTTATTAGAATGTGCAATTCCATTTTTGCACAGTCTTTTTTTTACTTTATAGTATTTGCTTGAAGAGTAAAGAAAGTCATTTAACTTTTATAGGACAATTTGGTAATTATTATTTTTTTTGGTTAAAAGGATGGATATTTATATAACTACTAAACAAAAAGTACATTAAGAGTACTGTCATTGCTAGGGTACTGTAGTTCCCCCAACAGTGCGATGTTTTGAGATACAGTTTCAATATTACATGCCAGAAAATTCCTAACAACTCCAGTTCCTAGGATGTCTGCCCAAAATATATCATTTGCAAACATCGAAGGAACTGCTAGTAAGCTTGATCTACCCAAAAAAGTTGGCTTTGCTGCCTCTTTTGCCATTGGGTCTGCCACCCTATTATGCTCCTTGTACGTGTGCCTCACCACGACCCTGTCCATCCTTTGCATTAGCAACATGCATTCATAAATCATAGGATCATATGTTAGGTTACCTGTAAGTAGCATTTGTATTATTTCTGCCGAATCAGTGTTGATGTCTAGAGGGACCCAATCATTTTGTTCAACAAGTTGCAGTCCTTGTAGGAGGGCTTTCAATTCAGCCAAAGTGTTGGTTGTATGTGGTATATTATCCATATCCCCATAATCCAATCCCCGTTGTGATTTCTGAATACTCCACCTATTCCTCTTATGCCTGGATTACCCCTTGCGGCCCCATTTGTATTGAGCTTAAAGAAACCTCTTTTGGGGGGCTCCCATTTTACAGTGATTTGGAATGTTTTTTTGATGGTTGTATTTTTTACCAACATAAAGTATTCAGTTGCTTTAGAGATGGTATTGGTAATGTTGATTCTATCTTTTTTATTGTTGAACAAGTTGTGGTTTTTGCATAGCCAGATATGCCAGAAACAGAAATGAAGCATGTTTTTCCAAGGAATGTGATCATTAAAAAGTGTGTTTCTAAACTTGTTCCAAGTTAAAGGCCATAGTTGGGATAAAAAGATGGGGTTCTGTTCCCTACTCTCAATAGAGGCCTCAGATACCAATTCTTGCTAGAACTGGGCTGCATTAATGCATTCAAAGAAGATGTGGTCACGTGTTTCTTCAAAGCTCTGGTAGAAGCAGAATTGTGCATTACAGTTAACCCCAATTCCGGTGGTAGTGGCAGTGAGGTCACGAAAGAGGTTGCCGTTTGATTTTTTTCCATTTTTGTGTTTTTTGTTTTTTACTACTTTGGGTAATGGGGGGATTAACTTAAGGGGCTATCCATTATTATGACCTTTGGTGTCAAATGTCGATCAGTAGAGGAGGCGATGTTAATTATGGCTGGGGGGGGGGGGTAGATTGTGTATTAACTAGAGATCTTGTTGAGTGGAATGTGAGTGTCTTTTCACCTGAATTTGAGTAAGGTTCTAGAGAGTGCACTTGGTGTTCATGGTGACTGTTGAGATTTCCCCATTAAAGGTTATCTCAGAGGTATTGGTAGGGGGGACGTACGTGAGAGAGTCGGGGCGGGTTTTTGGGCTGACAGCCTCTAATTGGGTGGAGGGCCTATTGGATGGGCGTGACTGGCCCCATAATCCATTGCCTCAGATTAGGGGTCTGTTGCCTCGTTAGATGGGCCAAAAGTGAAGGCCTTTTCTAGGGATGCGAGTTTGGGGTCAAGGGTGTGGATTGTGTCAGCTTCGTCCAGCCCCGATCTAGCTTTTCGTTTTGTACTCGTATTGGGCTGGGACCACGTCGGGTGGGGCCTGATATTGAGGGGTGGGGCTTACTTTGCTACTTGGGCCATTGGTCCTGTTGTATGGTTTTGGGTTGGGTTTACTTGCTTTGGTATTGTACTAAACAGTTTGGGTTTGTAGAAAATTACCTGAATTTCCATCGAACATGTTTACCTGGATCTGTTGAGCATGCGTTGAGTGGTGTTGGTTGTTTGCTGCTGCTCCATTCCTGTCATTTGATTTTTGTTGGCCTTGTTTTTTCCTTTTTGGGAAGGTGACTGTTTTCCACTCATTCTCTTCTCTTTGTTCCACATTTTTTTCGGAAGTTTTCGGTGCTTCTGATGGGACAGTAGGTTGAGGCTTTCTGTAGTTGCATCCCTTTGAGGTTCTGCCACATGACGTACATAGTGTGCCTTCCACTTTATAGATCACTGCTTGTTTGTGGTCTCCGATTATGACTGAGGTTTCTATCGGGGTTTCTAGGGGTACTTGAATGCATATGCGAGCATACCTTCCCCTGAGGGTGGAGGAGGTGCATGAGTCTATTTTCAACAACTTACCCAGTTTCCTGCCCACTTTTTGTAGAATTTCTTTGTCATAGAATTCCATTGGAAGTTGTGGAAGGCGAATCCAAATGGCTGTTGTAGAGAGTGTGGCTTCTTGTGGGACGAATTTTGGTTCCCATTTACGTATTGATAGAAAGTTCCCTGAGATAAACCATGGTCCTAGGCGTAGTGCCTTTACCATATTTTTGTAAGGCCCCGTGAAAATTTTTGCTCAAAAATCCGAAATCTCGTAGTGCCAAGTTAGGTATATGCGTTAGAGATTTTCGGACCCTTTGGATTGACATGTACATTAAAAAGATAAGGAATAATATTTTTCAGAATAGCGCGTTCTACGGTCCATTATGCGGTCGCATAGTAGCTATGCGGACCGCATAGTCGCCGCGAGTGAAACAATATGCGGGTTAGTTTTGAAGTCAAATATGCGGCCAATTATGCGATCGCATAATCCATATGCGTGCCGCATAGTCATCGCATAATCTCCTTGGAATTTTGCGAGGGGCAGTTCTGTGGTGCATTATGCGACCGCAGAACAGGTATGCGGACCGCATTCTTGTCGCATATCCGGTCAGTTTGTTTAAGTTTTGTGGGCTATTTTGCGGTCCCTTTCGCTGGCCGCATGTCAATTATGCGATCGCAGACTGTGTCGGGGCTCCTATTTTCTAACTTTTAAAACCCAACCCCATTCCATTAAAAATACCCCATTAGACCCCTTTTATGCTATTTTACTGCAATTAGAGTGAGAGAGGGAGTTCTAGAGGGAGAAACTAACTCTCACCAAGTCACTTCAATCCTTGCTCAAATATTTGAAGATTATCAAGTAACGCTACTAGGCCTTCATCCTAAGAGGTAAGAATTTGTGCCCTAATCTATGATTTCGAAATTTCTATTAAAATAAGTGATTAACAAGTAGGTTCATGGGTATAAGGATTGATTATCTTGCATGCATGAGTGATAATGGGGTATGGGGAGATTGTGAGTTAAAAAGATAACAATTGGGGTGTAAGATGATAAAAATCTCTCGCAAAAGGGTCCTAAAATCACAATGCACACTTAGTGCTTGATAATATACTCAAATGAGCTAGAATCTTAATCATGTCTCTATTTTTTGGTTCAACTTGTAATTCTCATAAAATAGATCGAAGTTGCTAAGAGCTCCGGAATTATTGTAAGAATTTAAGAAAAAGCTCCATTGAGGTATGTATGGCTAACCCTCTTCTTCTTAGTGTTGAGCTCTTGGTGTCCGAAAAGTTGGCATGAGTTCCGAATTGGACATATTAGACGGATTGCATTAATGTGTTGGGTTGATAGATTTTTGTTGCCAAAAATTATTCTATGTGTTTACCCTGAAATCATGCTGGTTGGAAATGTGATTATGTTCTCCAAGTGTTCTTTTCTTTCCCTATGTGCGCGTGCCGTATATGATAACACTTATCGACGTGGATGGTGAAGCTATGTGAACGAATAAATAAGGGGAAGACTTGAATTATAAAAACTGTATCCAAGTGCCAAACATTTATTAATAAAGAGGTATATTGTGCCATGTAATGGAAAAATGGAAAGAAATTTGAACTAAGGAAAATTGAAAGAGGTTATGTCCCAAGTGAGATGGCTTAGTCGATCGGGCCGAGATCGGACGCCATGCTGTATACATGGTGGCATTTACATTGGATTTCTGATTATCATTGTGGATTTGGATATGTCTCACTTGGGATGGCTTAGCCGGTCGGGCCGAGACCGGACTCCGTGTAAAATCACGGTGGTATATAGGTTATGGCACTTGGCACTAAAGAATATTAACCTAAAGAAATGGAAAGACTTAACCGGAACTATGTGAACCTTATTTGGTGTTTCCTTGTAATCCTGTGAAGTACTTGTTGATGTTGTAACTGCCTTCTATTTGTTCACTGTTCATCCTATTTAAAATTGTGTTTGCCTTACATACTAGTACTATTCGACAGTACTAACGTCCCTTTTGCCGGGGGCGCTACATCTTTGAATGAATGTAGGTGGTTCCGTTGCTGATAGCGCCGATCGCAGATAGTGGTGCCCTCTTTCTCTCCTCACAGCAGGCTTGGTGAGCCCCCATTTCTCCCAGGGGTCTTGTAGTTCTTCTTTGGTACAAATTTCCATATTTTGAGGTATAGCCGGGGCCTATTTGCCGGTATTGTCGTTTTGGTCTTATGTATCCTTAGAGGCTCCGTAGACGTTTATGTGGGTCATGTATGGGTGCCGGGGTGGTCATAGGATCACGGTGTATTTTGAAACTTTTCTCCAATAGGTTGTCAACTGTACGTACTTTTGGAAACTTAACTATGGGTTGCTGTATTTAAGTAAGAATTTAACTAGCTTCGTTTACGCATTTATATAACAACTCTCTCTCTCTCTCTCCCGTGTTTAATAATTGGTGATGCATTTCTTCTTCGGATATTGAATGAGTCGGGTAGGAAAGGCTAGTTAGGCTTGCTCGACCAGGTTCGCTCGGTTGCGCGCCGGTCGCGCTTCCCGAGGATTGGGGCGTGACAATTTTCCTCTAAACTGAATTTGACAATAAAGAAATCTCATCCTAGGTCAATCAAGATTAACTGTTCAGATGATTTCCATAGGTCGATTAGTTTGGAGCGAAGATAATGGTGCGGCATTCTACGTCCAAAGACCTTTATGATTACAGGTAACGCCATGGGAGGTAGAGACGCTTTTTGTCATCGTGAGATAGTAGGATTGATACTTCGATGTTTTTCCTTTATCGTTCTCAATGATTGTGGGAACATCATCCTCATAGTATTCATTTTGCTGGCTTGCCGGTTTATCTTTCTTATAGAAGTGTGTTGTTTGTAGTAGAAATGGCATGGTGTAGCCACTATTTAAGGTGGTATTTATTTTTTATCCAGCAATTCTAATGTTGAGCAAAAATAGCCACTGCCCTATTAAAATTAATATGAAAAGACATTTTTACCCTTTCTTCCCTTGCTTTTCTTCCCAAACCCTTGCTTCTCTCTCTCCGTGCCTTCTCCTTAACTGTTGCATTATGTTGAGGTGGCGGAGCCTATCTACACAGTCATTCTAATGCACATCGCTTGTAAGCATTCATTAAAAGACAAGCTCTTTAACAGAACTTTTCAATATTCATGGTTCAAAAGTTAGTAACAGAACTTTGTAAGTAGGGTGTAGACCTTCTGCTCTCCTTGCATGGTTCAGTTGGAAAGCACAAAATAAAAGAAACAAAAATAATGATTTCAATTCATAGCCAAAGAATAATGTCGCAGACTCTCCCAAATTTAAATCTTTTAACTTTGATTTTCAAGTTCAAAAGTTAAGGACAGACATCAGTTACAAGTTCAAAACTTAAGGACAATAGGTCCTTAACTTTGATTTCCAAGTTCCAAAGTTAAGGACAGGCAGTACTTAACTTTGAGTTTCAGTTTCAAAAGTTAAGGACAGGCAGTCCTTAACTTATAGTTTCAAGTTCAAAACTTAAGGACATGCAGTCCTTAAGTTATTGTTTCAATTTCAAAACTTAAGGACATGCCGTCCTTAAGTTATTGTTTCAAGTTCAAAACTTAAGGACATGCAGTCCTTAACTTTGAGTTTAAAGTTCAAAAGTTAAGGACAGACAGTCCTTAACTTACAGTTACACGTTCAAAAGTTAAGGACAAGCAGTACTTAACTTACGGTTACAAGTTCAAAAGTTAAGGACAATAGGTCCTTAACTTTGACTTACAAGTTCAAAAGTTAAGGACGCTTGGTCTTGAAGTTTGAGTTCCAAGTTCAAAACTTAAGGACATGTAGTCCTGAAGTCCTGAAGTTAAGGACATGAGCAGAAGGGTATTTTTGTCCGAGCAGTTAAAGTTTATTAAACCAGTGGCTAAAGACTAAAGACATTTAAAACGCTGGCTTTAAAATAAAGACATAGGCTGTTAGTGGCTATCTGTGCACATCGCCC